AGAAAATTGGGCACATCTGCAGAGGCGACCCTGTCGGGGGAAAAATCTTCCAGTGGCATAGCCTTCAGTGGTGGCAAGAGCAAAAGGACCGGGGGATCGACGTCCAACATGCACAGAGATTCAACGCATACATTGACCGGCAGCTGAGCGAGACGGTCGGCAAGGGATGGTTCGCCATCGCCCAGGACCGCGAAGCTTGGGCCATGCATGAAGCCACTTTCATTTCAAAACATGACGTTCCTTGGAGCAGTGGCAAGCAGGGGAGCCTGGGGAATCTTGCTCCACCCCAACCGGAGAGTCAAGCGAGAGAGTTCCTGCGAAGCATTTGCGATGCAACAACAGCAAGAAGAGTCCGGCGCAGTGCAGCCGCCGCCGCAAAACCCACAACAACTGCCAAACAACACAAGAAGCCAAGAAGGTAGACCGGGGGATTGAAGCCTCCAGCGAGCATATATACATACTCTACCTCAGCCACACCCGCAGATTCGTGGATGAACTGCCCAGTGCATGTGACGACGACTTGTGAGTGTGGAGACCGAGTTACTTTGCTTGCATGAAGACGACGCTCTCTCGATCGCCTCCTTGCTCTAACACACTTTTGCGAACATGACGATGCAATCAACACACAACATATACACATATATTTACGGCGCAAGCCAATCGCTGCTCGTTAGCACCAACACAGCGAACCAGCCGCGAACAGCAGCAACAACGCGAAGGGGGATGCTACGCATCCTTGCCGTGACCTTGACCTTGTGGGGGACACCCCATGCAGAACAGTGCCCAACCACCGCCCGACCCCGCCTCCGCCGCGCCCCCGCAGAGTACAGCACAGGGCGAAGCATCCACACCACATGGGGGGAACAACCAGACAGGGGGAAACCCCGAAACCCCCCCCAAGCCAAACCAGCACACCCTGGCACACACAACACTGGGCGCCAGAACAGCAGCCAGTGCAGGTGGCGTGGACAGCTACACACTTGACAGCCAACGGCTACGTCACCTCGTGGGGCGGCTGGAGCACGCACTTTTCCCAACACACCGGCCAGCCCCAGCCACCTCCACCACGGCAACTACCCACCAGCGCGCAGGCCTGCCCTCCTAACCCAAGCCATCCACAGCGGCCTGCACACCACGGCAACCCCCAACCAACACAGCAGTGGCCACAACAACAATTACCACAACCACAGGCTGCACACCCAACGCAGCATCCACGCACGGCGACCCAATCCACGGCCGGGAATTTCGCCGCTGGTCTTCCGCAAACCGCTATGCCAAGCCATGCCGAAACAAAGATGAAGTACCCGAGAGCCTACGACTGGGACTACGACCCTTGGAACAACCCCCAAGACGACCCACCACCTCAGCAACCACCTCAGCCTTCTGCACCAAGCACCACGGAGAAAGAGCCACAGCCTCCAACAGTCGAACATGCCGGCCCCCTTCTCGGGACGAGCACAGAACCGGGCGAAGCCACTGCCCCACCAACAGCAGAACAGGAAGCAGTGGACGCCTCGTGCAGCCAGCCACCTCCTCCACTCCAACACACACCACCACGACCAGAACTACCACCACGAAGTCAGGACGCAACCACCACCGGACTTTACAGCCACGACCACCGCGCGAGTTCACCACCCCCCAAGAATCCACAGACACCCAGGACGATGCGGCCCCAACCAACAGCACCAGCTCCGGCAGCTCACCACCCACCCACAAAATCCCACCCTGGGAGCGACCGGGATGGGGGGAACCCATTTTGGGGAGACGCAAAGGGCACACACGTGGCGCAGGACACGGCTCCGGCTCCCAAAGGGTCGGCAACAAGCAGGGGAAGCATGCTTTCAAACAGCGCCAATGGTCCGGGGAGCAGGTCACACGCCCCGACCCACAACCACAGAGTGGCCCCGGATGGGGAATTTTGGCGGACCAGGCGCATCGGGCTGCTAATGCTGACCAAACCACGGCACAAACAGCACGGGGGACCAAGTAGGCCGATACACACGCGGAGGCACAGTTCCGAGAGGCCATGGACAAGTTCCTGGGACGAACTCGTGAAACCAAGCCAGCGTTGCCTGCAGCACATCCAGCGTCGGGGGACCCACAACCAACACCACCCACCGGTCCCGAGGCCAGAGGCCCGCCCCCGCCACATCTACACCGAACTAGAACAGTGGCAGTACGACCACGCCCCCCAGGGGCCCGACGACCTCGAACCACCTCCCAGCATCCCACATGCAGAGGGCACAACAGTCACCAACTCACCAATGGGTGCTGGGAAGCCGTCATCAGTGCTGAACACTACATTGAAACGCCATTGACCTCGTCACCGGGGTTACCACCACTCCACATGGTCCATGTGGGCCAAACTGGACCAGTCATCGGGGCGCCACCACTACCTGTGGGGACAATCGCCCGATTGGCCCCGATGGGCCCGCCCGACACCTGGCTACTGGTGCTGACCTCGCTGCCTATGCTCGACGAGTTTTGGCCACAAAGCATGTTCGCCGTCGAGGGGGACTCTTTCCTTCTTCAAAACACTGACAGAGGGTGGAAACTCACCGTCGACAAGCAAGTCCCCTCTGTTGCGCGTGACACGCGCAAAGAGATGGAGGAGCAAAAGAAACAAGCACGCACAGGATCGGGAGCAACGCCCAACACGGGCCCCCAGCAAAGATCGCGCAAGCAGCTCCACAGACCCCGTGCAACCACCACCAAGCCACGACAAGCCGCAGAAGCCTGCCCCCTCCAAGGACCCAAAACAGGTCCGCTTTGCCGAGGAAGTGCAAGACACAACCAAGCAGAAGCAGGCGAACCCCTCCACCCCGGGGACAAACCAGCCAAGTGCAGCCAAAAAGCCACCACCTACACCGCCCCGCGAAACCGCAGCCTTTGTGGACACCCGCGACCTCCGTGGCACGAGAGCGCAGCAAACCCAACAACAATTTTATTAGACGCTGAGCGAGCGGGCTGTGCTCATTGCGGGCGTGTGAAACTGCCTTTGCACCTGAGCAAAGATCTGAGAGCAGTGTGAAAAGAGCCTGGGCCGAGAGTCTAAAGACAGGCAGTCAGCAGTCAGCTACACTTCAGGCTACGAGCTGCTTCAGGGGCCATCGCATGTCACTCAGTTGGGTGAGAAACCCTCCGTCACCCTCAGTGTGGACTATGGCGTCCCATGTCCACGAACCAATGATTGATGAGCCGTACCCAACGGGCCGTCACTCAGAGTGCCTGTTGCGTGGCGTCCCACTCATGGTCACTCTCAATCAGAGGCGATGGGCCGTAAGGTCGCAAAAGTAGCATAATGTCCGTGGCCGTCCAATGGAGGTGGTAGAAGCTGCTCTCGCCTTGGCGTAAGCTCGTGAAAAACGGCTTCTAACCCGATCAATTCGTGGCATAGCTGCCGCAATGTGGCAGCTGGGCTCTCTCTCAAATAGTGAGCATTGAGCAAGCACGTGAATGCGGCTATGCTGTTGACTGAGGTAGCTCCTCTTTTTTGAACAAGAGCAGAGTGCATCGGCTAAGTCATGGCACCCCCGGGAGCTGGAGCTCCGTGCCATGGAAGGCCAATGAAAAATGAAATGTTATGGGCTTGGTGAACCAGGCGTTGCCTGCGTGCGAGCTGCGAGCGATGCCCGACGTGGCAAACTGGAGCGACGTCACATAAAGGCACAAGATATCTGCCAGCCCTAAGGAAGATGAAAACCGAGATCACCAAGAGTGGCTCTATGCGCACTCGGCAGCCGGCCAGGGTCAGATATACAGTATGCCGCCAGCGTAACTCGATCTGTCAGGCTCCAACCGCGAGTGCAGTGAACATGATTGTGAGCTGGGAAAATGAGTGCCTGAAAGGCCAGGCTAAATGGACGGCCACTCAGTAGCCCAAAATCAGTTTCCTCATAGTCAGTGCCATGCCAGGATTCCACCCAGACCGATCCTTCATCGTGATGAGAGAGACTAAGCAGCAACGTGCCCGTCTGGGAGTTGGACTGATCTCGATGTGGTGGCGTACGAACGTTGTAGTTCAAGGAGAAGGTAGTCCATTTATGTTCCGGGCAGATGTGCTCAATCAAACGGTTGAGCAATCGACAAAAGGATCCATGCCGAACTGTGTCCGCACAAAGTCCGACAGGTCCTCGTGCAAAGGCGCCGAAGGTGACATTGTTGGCTGTGCCATCAGAGAAGCGCTGGCGACCTGGGCGCCATATCAGAGCTCGAACCGCTGTGCGCACAGCATTCCAGAGCGGTGACTGAGCGTCTTGTAGCAAATGCCATGACAGGATCTCAGCGCGTGGGGCCCGCGCGTCCAGCTCACCGTAGGGGAAAGGCATGTGCGTATCAAGGCTGCGAGGGAGACAGGTTTGCAGGCGTGCAAGATAGTAGGACAACTCCTGCATCCGTTCCTGCCCAAAGGTCTGAGTGGCCAGGTACAGCAGATCATTGTAGGAGAGCATCCCCGCTTCGGTCGGAAGCGATAAAGGCGGCCGGCGAGCAGCCAGAGCATGCATGGCTTGTAACAAGAGGTATTCCTCAAGGGCCACGGCGTACAAGTCCGGCGGGAAGTCTTGTGTTTGAATCATGCTGCTAAGAGCCTCCTGGCTAGTCCTGCTGCTGGAGCCACATGCCCTAGAAGATGATGGAAGGTCTGGCAGTCCCTTGCACTTACGGTAGGTGAAGCAGAGTGACTGTCAGAGGGTTTATGCCCCGCGCAAAGGGACTAGCAGTGCAAGTGTGGGCGATGCTCATTGGCTCATGACCAAGCGCTTCGTCGGGAAGCGCTCGGTTCGTAGTAGCAGGGCGTTGCCTGACGTCAATGCGGGCGTTGCCCGTGTAGCAGACCAGGTCGTTGGAAACTGTGCAGAAGTTGATGAAAAGAGTTGAGGTTTGCCTGCTACCAACAACGCGCAATGACGTCAGCAGGGCGTTGCCTGGCATCAGCTGGGGCGTTGCCCGACAAGCCGCATAAGGTGAGACTGTGCCATGCAACCTGGGCATGCGACGGCTCAGCGGTAGTAGCCGTGGTAAGCAGAGTTCTTGGCAGCATAGGAGTTCTCATCCCAGTCCTGCCAGTCTTGCCAGTCCTGGGAGCCGGCAGATCGGGAGTGTTGTCCGGATGAGGGCTCATGGGAGCCATAAGGATCCGACCTTCTGGACTCCTTGTTCTCCCTATGTTCAGCTTGCCTTTCACGGCGACTACGAAGTTGCTGGCCGGTGACATTGCGGATGACGTTCAGCTTGCTGTCCAGGACTTGGCCGTGCGTAATCTTGATGGTGGGGTGGCTGTCGCGCGTGGCCTGGATAATATTGACATGGGAAGGCTGGTGTGCCTTCTTGGTGGCCGCCTCGTAGATGGTCTGCAGGGTCGTCGCAAAGAGGCGGAACTCATCCTGAGTAGCCACACGCTTGCCCTCGAAGAGAGCGTAGGGGACCCCATTTTTGATGGTAGCCTGAAGGCCCCCGAGCCAGGTCGTGAGCTTGGGATGGATGTGCTCTTGACCGGCGCGGTCCTTCGTGGCCATCGTCAGGTGGCCGGAGGGGTGGACAACGAGCCGGCCCGAGATCACAGAGCGCCAGCTGAGGTCCTTACGATCAGCTTCAGGTTTCTGGTAGACCCTGCTGAGGCCTGCAAGCACGGTTGGCAGCTTGGTCAGGACCTGAAGTCGGGCGTTCCAGATCGCTGTGAACTCCTGGGGCTGAAGAACACCCACGACTTCAGGAGCCGTCAGCGACTGGAGATCCGCTACAGCCACCACCCAGTCATAGAAGTCCTTCGCCACAAAGTTCCTCCATTGTGGGAGGAGTGTCTTCTGGCTCTTGAGGAGGAGCTTCATGACGATGCGGTGCATCAAGGATGGCCGGTCGCGGTGCGACGTATGGCGGCGGGGAGGCAGGCTCGTTGGGCCTCTGGTTTCCAGAATCCGAGGAGGAAGCCGCCGCAGCAGTCGGGCCTGAGCGCCTAGTAGCAGCTCTGGCGTAGGCCTCCTCCCCAGCGTGATGCCATGTAGCGCCGCTGCCGCGCGTCCGCAGAAAGCGCGGCAATAGGCCTTGAGAGGTGTGGAACATGCAGGGTCCGCCCGATTTGCCCGCACAGAAGACACAGCACAAGGTGTCACCATTTTCTGAAATGGCTATACCAAGACCGCGCGGGATGAGCTCCTGGACTTGCTGCTTGGTGAGCTCGCCATAGTACCGCGGCCACTTTTCGATGAGCTGCACAATCCTGTCGAGAAGGCTGGTGTCAAGAGCTTCGAGCACATGAGCCTGAATGGTTGCCTCAGTGGGGACCGGAGTTGAGGAGGCGTTGCCTCGCTGGGCCGTGGCGTTGCCAGCCTCCTGCGCAGCGTGGAGTGCGGTAGGGAGTCCACGGAGGATGGCATCATTGTTGGCTTTAGTGGAAGCCGGGTCTGCCTTCCAGCCCTTGTTCCAGCCCCAGCACCGAGTAAGGGCAATAAGCTGCCCGGTGGCTGTTCGGAACCCATGTCCCTCATTCAAAGGCACGCCCTGCATTCTCCGCAACTCATTTTCATGGATCTCCTGCAGCAAATAGATCGGGCCCAGGGTCTGAGTGAGGTGCCAGCCAGGGGCCAAGCTGCGGCCTTGCGCTGTCGGGTGGAGGGCCTGGTCATTGAGCAGGTCCTGACGTACGATCTCATAGAGGGCGATGCAGAAAAAGAGATACGTCTCATTGATGGCTCCCTGCGCATCCACATACTTGTGCTGAAAAGCATGGCGTAGTGCAGCCGTCATGAGGGGGTGCTGCCGTCGTCCCAGGAGGATGCCCTGGAAAATGTGGTCCTTTTTCTGACCGATGGCCGTGAGAAAATAATCAGGAGGGCCGCTAGCTCTCAAGGTGTCGGCATCCCAGCCATAGGCTTGGGAGGCAAGGTCGGAGAGGAGTGGCTGTTGCCGCCACTCTGCCACGATGGAGGAGTGGAGCTCCTGCGGCGTGATCAGGAAAGCCGTCTTGATGTCCAGGTAGATGCCGCCGCGGAGCCAGTGCTCAACGTATCTGAAAACATCAGCGCGATGCGCGTTGCTTTTGAGCTTGGAGAGAAGGCGTTGCCCTGCTCCTCCAGTGACTGAACGGATCACTTCCGCGCAGGCCTCATCGTTGAAGAACTCGCGACGAAAGGTCCGGAACTTTGCCTCCGCCATTTCCTTGGGGCCAACCATATCATCATGAATGAAGGTTTGGACGAGGCGCTGCGGAATTGGAAACTGCCCAAAGGGAGTTCGTCCAGCCGGCACCGTAAGGTGGTACGTCTTTTCAATGGGGAAGTTGGCTTGGCTGGCCGCCACGATCAGCAACTCTCTCAGGGTAGAAGCTCGGATGAGCGCGTGGGTGGCTAACATCTCTTGATGTATCATGCCCTGGGTCGCGTTCCAGGAGCAGCACAGGAAGACAGGCAGAAAAGGTGGAGGGGTGTGCGGCGTCTGCTGCGTATCCCCGTGTCCCAGGCCACCCGCAAAAGGAGAGGTAACTGGAGTTTGGGGGGCGTTGCCCTGCGGGGTTTCGGGTGCCTCCTTCAGCTCGCTGTGGTCTCGGTACTGTCATGCAGTAGAGAGCGCGTCCAATCTACGCCCAATAGCAGGCAGTTCAGCGGACTGCTGAAAATGCGTGGGGTCCTGGCCATAAAGGTCCAGGTCCGGGGGCTGGTGGAGGTCCATGATCTGCCAGGCGAACTCGTGGTCCTTGAGGTTGAAGTCGTGCCGTGCCCTCTCCACATAGCAGACTGCTTGGGAGGTGGCACACTGCGCCCGCAGGGGACCAAGCCCACCTTGACGGGCTCATCGAGCTTGTCCCGAAGGAAGTTCAAGAAGCCCTCATTGGCCAAGATCGGAGCCGGCAGGGAGTCACGAGGCTGGAGGGAATCCCCCGCCGCGAGGGCCCCTAGGATGGAGGGACGTCCAGGATAGGAACGGAGGAGGGAGGCTCCTGGGCACACCACCGAGAAGCGAGGGGTAGCCGTATGAGACCCATTTCTGACCCTGCCGCAAGAGGCCTTGGAAGGTGGAGTCAGCGAGAGCCAGAAAGGGCGGCGCCTCATTGAGCACCTCCCGACCTGCATCATCCCAGACTGTTGGAAAGGGGCGCGTCCACGCCATGAAGAGGCACAGCCCTCTACGAGGGCAGGCCCAAAATCGAAAAAAGCCGGCTATTTGAGCCTAGTGTCGCAATGAGGGTTGCTATGACTGCCTAGGCTGGCTGAGAAGGCTCCCTGTTTTTTGCAGACTGCGCAAAGGGGCTGCTGTGCACGAGATTGCGTTGAGGAAGAAACGGGCCTTGCTAGGCTTGCTCACTTGAGACACCGATGAGCCTGGCTTAGATAGAACTTGAACTAGCTGAGAGAGAGTAGGACTTACTGTGCTGTTTTTGTCATGTGTGTGCAGGCACCCAGCAAGCGTTGCTCGCAGTATGCAGGCGTTGCCTGAAAAAAGGAGATTGAAGACACCTCGGTGAGAGAATACCCTTAAAAGAGAGGGTTGGCCTGTCTCTCAGTGGGGGCCGGCTCCGGCTCCTGGTACTCTAAGTAGAGCGACAGGGATGGAATTGGAGAGAGCCGCTCGGGAAAGGCCATCTGCTCCGGGTACCGTGGTGCCAGCGTGTTGCTCCAGAGCATGGACGAGCGGGAAGACCTGAAGCGGTGAAAAGAAGTTAACAGCCGGAGCCTCCGAGGCCGCAGGAGCAGCACCTTCTTCTGCATCAGGCAGTTCCGTGGTCGTCTCAGCCCAGACGCCCGTCAGCATGGGGGAGGGAGGCGTCGTTGTGGGCGGAGCTGAGTCCGAAGTTGTTCGCCCCGGCACGAGCGGCTCTTGGGCGTTGCCCACTGATGGGAGAGCGTTGCTCTGGGTCTGCGCTGGGGCTGGGTCCATCCGAGGTGGGCCTGGGTGGCTCCAGCTCCAGCATGCCATCCCTGTTACGGTATGACAGCCAGGGAAAGACCTGCTGAGCCACTGATCGGGTGCCACGTCCCTCAGTTTTCAGCTCACAGACCAGAAAGATCTTGGGGAGATATCCCGATGCTCCCACGAGCCAGTGTTGATCTGAGCCGTGAGAGAGACGCCAGGCTCATAGGAGGGCTGGTCCGGCTCGTCCACAAAATGCCCGTTGGAGTTGCCCTTGCGTTCCAAAGGCGAGCGGAAGGTGGTCGTGCAAGTGCGTGACTTGCCCTCAGCAGTCCACAGGTGAGCTGTCAGCATGATGGTAGGGTTGACAGCAGTGTCACGCCACGAGCCAGGAGGGAATAGGCTGTGAGGATTGGGCTTGACCTTCCACGTGGTGGTGTCAAGCATCATGTCCAGTTCCTGCTCAGCCTCGCGAGGGAGTTGTGGGCGAAGCTGGTCGCGTTTCCGGCGTCTGGAGGCGTTGCCTTTTTTCAGCGGGTGGGCGTTGCCCCGCCTCGCTTGCCATTTGGCCAAGAATTTCCTCTCTGATGGTACAGGCCAGGCGGTGGAAGTCGCTGCGGCCGCAGAGGTAGGGAACTCGCAGTGAGGGGGTCGACCATTCGTTCATGCATTCAGCCGGAGGGCGGTGTTGGGTACCTCCACGGCCTGCTACAGTGTAGCCATAACGGACCGGCCAGATGGTCTCCTTGCTGCCACCGTAGTCGATGAGGACAAAGCTGGCCGGGTCCGTGCGGATCATGATGTTGGCCAGCCGAACGTCAGCATGTATGATGTCATGGTCATGGAGCAGGGAGATCGCCCTGCGCATGTCTTGCATGAGACGAAAGACATGACGAGTGGTCAGGGCAGAGACCGGGACCGGGTAGTGGCGAGGCATGAGCACTCGGAGGTGCTGTGGGTCCCAGGCCAAGATGGTCTGGAGGACCACCACCTCAGGCATGCGAGCCGCCCTGATAATTTCTCGATTAATCTCCGCACTGAAGCCGGCTTGGGCAGTCCGGATCACATAGTGCTCTCGATCCTCCAGGAGGAGCGGGAAGGTGGCGGGGCCACGCGACACATCGATGCGTTGCACCTCAGAGAAGGGGGAATAGCAGGGCTGGGCTGGAAGATACACTTGGCAGGTGTAGCCTGAGCTGATTTGCTGTCCCAGCTCAGAGGTGATCAAAGACATGACCTGGATGGAGGGGTTGACATAGTGCTCCGGGAGAACGAGAGGCGAGGAACCAAATTCCTGCAAGCTCTCCAGGGCCTTGCCTGCCTCAGCCGAAAGCGAGGTCGAGGACTGCGACATGTCTGCGCAGAGAGCGGCGTGCTGCAAAAAGCTGCGAGAGAATCTCTTGCTCGGGCCAGAAACAATGCCGAGCAATGCAGATCAATTGCTGCCAGGCACATGGGATCCTAGCATGGAAGCAGCCAGAGACGCATGTTTAAGGCGCAGGCAAAGGGTCGTCATTTGACTCGCACTTCAGCCTAGTACTGCATGCACTAGTTTCGCGGTGCGAAGTTCGCCGATTAGGTCGTTGGCGATGCCACACGACTCAGGACGCCTTGGGCAGTTTGTGCTTCCACATCATCTGCCGCTTGGAAGCGGGAGGCGTAGGTGGCTTGGGAGGCGACGAAGTTGCAGTAGAAGAGGATGTTTCAGTCGCCCATTGACGCTTGCCGATTCCCAAGTTGTGCTTGGCAGTCGTGGATGACGTAGAAGCTGTTCCGCCAGACGTCGCCTTGTTATCCTTGTTCTCTGGCTGAGAATGAGCCGGACCATCGAGTTCTTGACGAGCAGCCCACAGGAGATGCTCGTAGAGCTGTTCCTGGGAGATGCCATGCTGAGCCTCCGGCATGGCTAAGCAATGTAAGCTCAGGAGTCCGGAGTAGGTTGCAAGTCGAGTCTCAACGGCTCAGACATGCAAACGTTGGCTGGGTAGTGGAAGAAAGAAAAGCAGGCAGAGGGGGAGCAGAAGCTGCAAGAAACGCAGAAACAGAGACCGCACGGCCAAGCTGTGCGCCTTTTTTCTGTGACGCGTGTGAGCGAAAGAGCAGCAGGAGGTGAAGTACTTGACAAATAGGAAAGCGATTCCCTTGCGCAGCTCTTGGCTGTAGGGTGCAAGAAACTGCGAATCTAAAAGCCGGGAATCTGGAGGCGTTGCCTCACCACGTTGGCGTTGCTTCAAAGTCTCGAGTTCAGCTGGTCGTTGGGAGTCCACGGGCTTTTCGAGCCAGTGTGCCCTGGGGACGTTTGCCCAGCGCCTCGCCTTCGAAGTCCTCGATGAGTTTGCTGTACGTTGAGACATGAGCGAGCAACGTGCTGTGCATCTTCAGGCGGATCTCCAGGATGAGGTGGGTCTTTTTGGCATTGGCTTGAGCTGAAAACAGAGCAAGCTCGTGGTTGATCGCGTTGTTTCTATCCGGATCATCCAAGATGAGAGCCAAGGCAGCCTTGAAGTCCTCCCAGGCTGTTTGGGTGACAGACTCAGGTTTCGTAGAATCCTTCAAGAATGGAAGCACTGCAGCAGCAACTGCAGCCGTGGGAGAACCAGAGGGGTGTGGCTGGCCGGGCTTGTGATCTTTCAGCCATCCATGAATGGCGTCAAGCGCCGTCGTTGCCAGTGGTCCCTCCACAGGGAGCTTATGAACAACGGAGAGCTGATTGAGGATGCTCTGAATCTCGTCATCGTGTGCCAAGAAGGCTCGGGTGAGCTCTTGCACCGAGAGCGCGAATCGTGCCTCGCCCGCCTTGAGGTGGTGCTGTGGCCGCCTTCGCCGCAGCCTCGAGGTCACGACGCGCTCGCTTTTCCGGCTTGGCCGGGGGCGAAGAGTTGCCGGCCATGAGTGAGGAGCTACGTCAGCTGTACAACTTGAGCAGCAAAACTGAACAACAGCGTTCCTGCTCCCTGCCGTGTAGGCAGGTCGGTCCCACAGAGCCAGTAGGTCGCCCCCTTCCTGCAAGGGGAAGTAGGGGCCCCTGGCCTCAGGGGAACCCTCAGCTTAATCATCTGAAACTTGGACTGGCATAGGGCCAGCCTCCGCTGCGTGCGGTGATGAACCAAGTCGCACTAACAGCATATAACAGCCTTGTCGTGCCTGCCTGAGATCAGAATCTGAGGCCGGAGCAGACGGACGGCCGTCGTCTGTGCTGGACCACGGTTGATCGGGTTGGCTCCTCCAGAGGGAGCGATAGTGTCCACTGTGCGGGCTGTCTCCGATGTGGAATACACATGACTGCACCCAGCCCTGCGCAATTTGAACAGAGCCATCAGGGGCCCATTGCGGAAGCTCGATGGAGCGGCCTATAGGCCCGTGACAGCGTAGCTGAGCTTGCGACCGTCAGCAAATCGGGCTACAGAAAGAACTATCAGCCTTTGCTGTCCCCTAAAAGCAGCGCACACCGGCTGCCCAGACCATCGGCGTACAAGCTCCTGAAGGTCCTGAGAGCCGGCAGTCAGCGGGGCTGGCAGCAATGCCAGCGGGCCTCCTGCGTCTAGGATTTCCGTTGTGTTCACATCCCTGACCTCCCAAGGCCTGGCGATCGGAAATTCTGTGATTCCGGCAAACAAAGCTGTCAGAAACTCAGAGGCATCCTGTTGTTGGCCATCATAGCGCCAGGTGGGTGTAAGGTGGCGGAGGGTAAAAGAGGCAGTCAGTGTAAAGGGAGAATCAGAGGCTGGGTCAGCAACCTCTTGATGGAGAGAGGAGCTAGCTCTTCCATGCTCGAGCAGGACACGCGTCGGCACTAAGGCCGAGAGTGTAGAATTGATGTAGCAGTAGTTGGAAACGTTGCGCAACGGGCGGGGGGCGTCAGGGGTGACATTCTCAGATCCCGAAGCTTCAGAAAGCAATGACGCACCTGCCGCAGGCGTTGCCTGAAGTGTTGGGGGCGTTGCCCCGGTGGCTTGTCGACAATCTAAGTCAGGAACGGTACGAGGCGTTGCACCAGCTACAGGCATGTACCTGCGCAGCAGTCCTCCCTGACAGCTGAACCAAGTCATAAAACAAGATTTGGAACAAAACAGGGCACTGCACCGGATGTAGTCGTTTGTCCGTGACCTGCTTACGGCAGCATGGGCAGGGCATGCCTTTGATGAGGACCAGACCTGATTTAGTACTCTTGTCGGCAGCAGCGGCACCGTGAGCTGCCCACTCCGGCTTGTGGGCTTGTCGAATATGAGACTTGAGCTTGGTGTTGTCTGGGGACCAGAATCCGCAGATCAAACAGTGAGACATAAGATCCTGGGATTCGTCAAGCTTGCCTAGTTCTACCGCGGTATGCGTCTGCAGGGTGTCGTGCAGACGTTGCTGTCTGGGGTGAAGACGAGGTACTAGCTGCAAGTCTGAAGGGGGATGAGCCGCTTCGTCGAGCTCCTTTAATTTTGCCGGATCCGAGCAGGCACCTGATAACAAGTGGTCCTTTAAGCCCTTCATCTGAGGGAATTGCCGGTTGCATGCTGCACACCTGGGAAGCCCTCCTACCGATAGGGTGTGGGAGAAGGCTCTGGGGACATATCTGAGGACCGAGCCTGGGTGCTTGCGTGCCTGGTGAGTGCGAAGGCCGACCTCGGTATCGAAGGCCTGAGCGCATGTAGGGCATGCATACGATTGGGGGGCCTCCTGCTTCTTAGTGTCTTCAGAAAGCTGTTGAAGAACCTCCGTATACCCGGCGGAGAGCGCCTCTGCTTGATGTACCGCTTTCTGTGTCAGTGAGACGTCTCCTGCAGGTGTTTTCTTCTGGCGAAGATGCAGGCGCTTGACACGATTGGCCTGTCTCGCCTGAAGCTTGCAAACAGGATCTATGATCTCGTAGGAAGCATAGAGGTCAGTGGTTGACATGTGGGTGAGATGCACCGGGTTGTTGAGAACCGCTCGAATCTTGCGAGCGTGCCAGGCGCGCAGGAGCCGAGCCGTTTCCTGGGTAAGACCGACATCGACGAGCCCAGAGGCCACTGTGGCCCAGACTGTACTGTGCCAGATATGAAGCCTCGATTTCGGCCCTGCAGTGCGTCTGTTGTGAACGAAGCGACGTACTTGTTGCAGTTTGGCGTTGCCCTCCTGCAGCCGGAATGTGAGAGTGGCCTTTTCAAAATTCGAGTAGGAGAGCATGACGCCTAAGTACTTGAAAGACGTGACCATTGGAAAGCCTTCGTGAGACTTGGATGCCCCCAACCGCCACATCTTGTGACGGGTCCCATCAGACGCGGTGCGCCAATACGTGTGCTGGGACAGGGCGCGTTGCGCCTGTTGGCCTTCGAGTTTTACCATGACTGTGCACTTAGAATTGTTCACTGCAAAGCCATGACTACGGACCAACTTCAACAACTGCTCTATCAAGTCATGAGCGCGTTCTAGATCCTCCAGCGAGTGGATGTCTCGGTGGATCGTCAGATCATCCGCGTAGCCTGTGAGGTAATCCACTACGGCCCTGACTCCCACGAGAGCTATGAGCTCTCGAAAAATGGTGCCTGTCAGCATAGAGAAGAGAGTGGGAGCAAGCTTGCACCCTTGTTTAATGCCCGCCGTGGACTGGACTGTATCTGCCTCACCTTGCGTGCGAAAGGTGTACGAACTGCCTGCGTGCAAGGAGGCGACAAGATCAATAAGGTCCTGTGGGACTCCTGCATCACGCAGTGTGTTGAGCAGATCAGACCTGTTCACCATATCAAAGGCTTGCGATAAGTCTAAAGCAAAGCATATGCCTCCAATCAGCTGGGGACGTGTGCGTCCCGCATGAAGCTGATGTCTGGTGCGCCGGGCCTCCTGGCAGTTACCACGGACCTGAGTGACATGACCTACGACCCTGCCTAACGCGTCGGATAGGCCGCGATGGGGTTGGTAAGCAAACTGAGGAAGGCCCCGAAGATATTCAGCCGTATAGGGAGACAGCTTATCTCTGCAGGCCCCTGCTAGGCCTTTCCCGTCTGGGCGTATTATGCCCAGGGGACGTAGATTGCTAGGCTTCGTGGCTGGCTTGTTGGGCTTGGGAATGAAACACATGTCAGCATCCTTAAGCGGCGGCAGAAGAACATCCGCAGCCGACTGTGGGCGTTGCCCAATGGATTGCAGCGTTGCTGCCAGAGCCTCTCCCGCATCCGCCGAGCACAACCGCCAGGACGCCGCAGGTGCGGAGCCCTGTGGGACCGCTTTGTGTGGTCGTATGGAGCCGATGTGCTTGGCTAGCAGTCCTGCCGGGATTTCCGGCAGAGAAGTTACTTGATGGTCAAGGGGAGGGTGCTTGGCGAAAACCTGTTCCACGTGCACGCGGAGCAAGCGGAGTTCTGAGTGAGAATCCAGAAGCAGACC